GTTGAACAAATGTGAATTATGCATTTTCCCAGCATGGAGACCAAAGTAATTAATTTGAACATAAAAAAAACCTTCAGAGTTTACACAATAAAAGATGGATGTAAATGCTTATAATTTACTAATAATTATCAAGATCTTTGAGGTTTCTCCAACAATGCAGAAAAATAAACTTCATCTTTAGACTTGGGAGAAATAGCCCACTTGTGTTTTTTGTATCTGAATTGCAAGAACATGTACATGAAGTCATCAACATCCCTCCTATTACAAAAGAATCGATCGATCCATAACAATCCTCCTGGTCTTAAAATGCGATCCCAATCAAAAAGGATGAAATCCAATAGCTGCAGATCAATCCAACCATCCATTAGTCCTATCGTATGGATCAAATCCATCGTGTTATCAAAAAAAGGTAGACGTTGGTTCAATGTCACGTATAATGGCATGAGACCCCTTAGTGCTATTGTCTCGCTGAATGGAGCCTCGAGATTCATGGCAGTTGAGATGATTGTCACATTATGTTCTCTCATTCTTGCAGCAAAAGTCCCCGTCCCAACGCCATAATCAAGGCCAATTCTGATCTCCCCTGCCTTAATTCCCAAAACATCTTTGATCAAGAAATCCACAGGAACAGAGGAGTTTGTTACCCATTTTACCTTTTCCTTGTCCATTTCAAACCCTTTTTTCGAGTTCTTTCTCAATAAACACTCGAAATTCCTGCACTTGTAATTGCTCCATCGAATATTTCTACCATCTGGGATTGTCCAAAGGGACTTGTCAATAGGGTAAGGCTTCTTATAAAGCTTAGATGCCCTCGCCAAACATCTCCTCCTAGGCAAAGGATCACAACCATTTAACATTAGCTTTTGAGCCAAATTCCAATCATCTTTACAATATGATCCAATTTCGTAATCCATATATTCTTCCAACTCTTTCTTCATCAAAACACACGCATGCCCTATCGTGTTATAAATCATCGGTATACCATAGACATTAACATTTCCATTTCTATTCACCTTAGGTGTTATATACTTCCTGATCTCCTCAATCACAAACGTATTAATCAAAGGATCTTCTTTAACACTTCCAATTCCTTCAACTCTTGGCAACCTAATTTGCCTAAGGGCAATTTGCGCGGAAGACAGAGGCCTAATCACATCTTCTTCTAACAATCTCTTGTACTCCAATCTCGAAATGTTGCTACTAGACAACTCGTCAACTTTAGCTTTGTCCATCTGCTTTACCATCAATTCTAGCTTGTCTTGTAGAGTTTCCATCTTATTAAGAACTTCATCAACACGAGCAGATAATGATCTAATGTCAAAATCATCATACACGCCATAGAAATGGCGACATATATCTTCATTATGCATGAAAAATCCAACAGAATAGAAGCTAAATAAAGTCGAAAGACTTACAAATATAACAAGCCCCCCTAGCACAAGTTGAAATGAACTCATAATCCTTACTAATCTACATTTTCGAAAATTCAAATTATAAGGCTTATTCCCCATCCTCAATGACTAACAATTAAACCAAAAACAGAACTATGTATTATAAAATAATTCAAAATGTTATGATATATATAGTTCGAAAAAATTCCTATAGAGAATAGCATCCATACAAGAAAATCAAAATGCTACTCGAAAAAATTGAAATTAGTTACAAACTTCGTTGTCAATTGTTCAATATTTTTTGGGAGAAAGGGATTATGAAAATATATAAGTGTGATAGAACCCAAAAAGTTGTTTAACTTTTTGGGGTTAATTTGTTAAAATGAAGTTAAGAGCTGGAAAATCGTGAACTGGAAGCATACTAGCTGGGCCATGTTCAATTTGACCTTGCTGTGTATAGTCAAAGGGGTGATATATTTTTTGCTATTATCTACATTATTGACAGTTGAGAACAGGCATATAAGTTTTTCCAAAATTTAAAAAAGTGTTTAATAAGAACATTTTATCATGTGTGTATCTACATAATTTTTTTAAAGAAGTTATCAATTTATTCGTCCTAAATACAATCACAATCAAAAACAAAAGAAGATAAAGAGTGATTACATGTGTCTTGGCATATACACAACATTAAATGAGGTCCATCTTGTACTAATAGAGGTGGAATATCTCCCAAAAACAAAAAACCTATAAGTAGTGTATGAATAGAATTCATTCTTCAGGTTCCTTAATCAGAGGTCTCAAGTTTGAGTCTTTCTGGGTATGAAATTACCTTTGTTAGGAAGCATTTTACCCCAATATAGGATTTTCCGGCGTGAATCCCAAGAATTGATTCTTGTAGATGGCTCAAAGGTGTACATAATTTATTTATGGAGACCAACTTTGGGAGTGACTTAAGGAAGCAAACTTGTTGACAACTTCATTTGCTTCCCTAAACTAGTGCTTCAGTAGATAGGAATTTTAATTTGTTTGCTATACTGAGATATTCCTATTTAGAAAAATTGACACACAAGATTTATTTTTTTGTTGGTTTGTTGGCAACTATTCTATAATACTGTCAAACGTCAAAGGACAATTAATTTTTGCAATTAGAATTAAGTTGGTCACTACTGGTAGCTAAAGTAGATTTTTAAGCTTATAAGATGGACTTTAGCCTTCATGGAGTATTTTCTAAGCCCAAAGAATTAGCATAGCATATGGGCTTGTATATGACTCATTAGTTCAACCCATGATTACAAATTAAATGAAATAGGGGGAGTAAATTAAGAGGAACTTTCGCATATATCCACTCAAAAATAGCTTAATCACGCTCCATAGCTATAGTTTGCTAATTACGATTTGTAGCTACATGTTATAGGGAGGAGAGTGGTGAGCGAGAGGGAGAGATGTGAATTGTATATGTATATCGGTTAGATAATTGTAAATATGTAACTGGTATCCATATGTATTTGTATATCTGGCGAGCGAGATAGAGAGAGGCGAGCGAGATTGGGAGAGGAGGAGAGAGGCGATCGAGAGAGGACAATAATTTGTATAATTCGCATCTCGTTTGTATAATTCGCTGGTACGTTTATATAATTAGCGTGTTTTTGTATAATTGAGTAATATAAAGTCTGGAATTTATACAAATATGATAAAACTCGAATTAACGAATTAATACAAATATAAACATATGAACTTTAAATAGTTATATAAATTATATTATACAAAATCTAAAAACTACAAGTTTATATAAACTTTAAAAATTTATACACAAAAAGATTGAAAGTATATGGTGATAAAACTAAAAAACCAAAGGAAATCATCATCATATACAAATACAAATCAAACGAAGAATTGTTAGTTGTGAATTATACAAATGTGGTGAATTATACAAACGTGGCTAATTATACAAACTCGAAGTTAGAACACAATTAATGGTTAATGTTAGTCGCGAGTGGTATTTGAGAAAAGCATAGAAACAATTCCCTCATCCCGACTCAGCTTCTCTCTCCGATACAGGTAGCAAACTATAGCTATGATGACTAATTAAGTAGTACAAGTTTGCTTAAGCGCATAATTTTCCCGTAAATTAAATTTGATTGTTTTTCTCTCATTATGTCTTTTGATATACTCTATCTAGTAAATATTAAGTGAATTATTTGGGTATGAGATATTCCTTCAGAAAAATATTTAAAGACATACTATTACTCTTATGATTATCCTCAAACTATATATTATACTAAAAAATGTAAAGTAGTTAAGAATCTCATTAAATGAAGGGTAAATATAGAAAAGTCACAAAATTTCTCTAACTTTGAATAGTTCACTTATTTTGAACTATGGAAAAAGTCTTAACAATTCACTTAATATGGACTAGAGGCAGTCTCTTAATTAAATATTTACTTTTTTTTGAGGTGTTTGTAGTCCTCAAGAACCATTTTTATTAAGAATAAAATGAAAAAATAACAATTAATTCTATGTTTAATTTCTAAAACTGACAAATAATTTGATATAATTATTTTTTTAAATCACGACAGCTAATTTGTGATAGTGAGTAGGAGAAAATGGCTAAGGCCTAGAGCAGTCAATAGCTATAAATAGGACACAGCTTGTGTGTAGAATGATAAGACACACTTAGCCAACAATAATATTAGTAATACCTCTTCTTTATCACTTTTCCTTTACCACTTTCTTTGACTTATATACATTTTCAACTTAAGTAATATACACAGCCACATTACTCTTAACACATACATAGACCAATAATCATGGCCTTTTAACTCATTTTCTACTGAATCTGTTCACTAGGAAAATGCATAGTGAGAAACAAACTCTCACATAAATGAAATGCCGATTCAATCGAAAAAATGGTGGAAATAGTCACCAAACATTTTTCAATAGAAAAATAATGATTTTTTAGTAGTGATTTTCTTCACTTTTGAATAATTTAAGGAATCAACATGGTGAAATTGACTGTATAGCCTTACTTCAGTGTTGTTAATTTGTTTGATTATTTGCTTTATATTCTTAAATGCCTCTTCATCTATGTTACTCCAACTACCCCAATTATGTTTTGTTGACTAGAAAACAGTACACCACACTCTAAACTCACCTCTATGATACTACACATTTAGTAGTATTAAATAATCGCCGTTTCTTTTTAATGTTTTCGAGTTTCTGTCACAAGTAATAAACAATCATAATCCCTATAACCACATGTACTATGAATAGGTCAAACACCTCTTAAAGACAAAAATAAAACCACTTTTTACAAAATTTTAATTAATCTATACTGTATCAACAACATATCCAATGTGTTTCCACAAGTAAGTAAGGTTCGAGAAAGGAACTAGAAGTGTACACAACCTTATACCAACATAATGGAAGTAAAGATATTGTTTTCAAAAGACCCTCAGCTCAAATAACGACCATCATGTATCATAGGTTGTGAATTTGATACATTCATGAAAAACATGGATATTTGATTAGAGGCTAAATGCAGTGATTTCATTCTGAAAAGGGGAAATGGAGATAATGATTAAAGACTATGTTTTACATAATGACTAATGATTATTAACATATGCTTAATAACAATAACAAGATTAAAAGATAAAACTAGACATATGAGATAACAGAGTGATGATTTATTCCCCATTGATTCCTTTCAAGAACTTGAAGACATGGAGCATAGACGGGCGATTAGCCGGATTATCAGAGAGACATATTGCAGCAATCTGTAATGTCTGAAGCATCATCTGCTTTGAATCTGCATCAAGTATTGTTGGATCAAGAACATCAGCTGAATGACCTTTCTTGATCTTCTGGAGTACCCAACCAACCAAGTTTCCACCTTCGACATCTTTGAAATCCGGTCCTGTTGGCTCTTTCCCTGTCAGCAATTCAAGAAGGATCACTCCGAAAGAATAAACATCTCCTTTTGTTGTAGACTGCCATGTCTGCCCATACTCGGGAGGAATGTAACCGAATGTACCAGCAATATCAGTGCTTACATGCGTCTCACAGGCGCTGATCAACCTTGCCAACCCAAAATCTGCAACTTTGGCCTCAAAGTCTTCGTTGAGCAAGATGTTACTTGGTTTAATGTCCCTGTGAATAATGTGTGGTGTGAATCCATGATGAAGAAATGCCAAACCACGAGCAGCACCTACAGCAATCTTAAGTCGTTTGCTCCAATCCAGCACATCAAGTGTTCCAGTACGGTTTCTCAGCCAATGGTCCAAGCTCCCGTTAACCATATACTCGTAAACAAGCACTTTGTCCTCACCATAAGAACAGTACCCAAGCAAAGGAACAAGATTTCGATGTTTCACTTTGCCTAGAGTTTCCATTTCAGCTAAAAATTCGCGGTGACCCTGAGTTTTTGCTTGGTTTAGCTTCTTAACTGCAACTGTCTTAGCATTAGGTAAAGTAGCCTTATAGACAGTTCCAAACCCTCCATCACCAACAATTTTAGTCTTGCAAAAGTTGTTGGTGGCTTCAAGAAGATCAACCAAGGTCAGCTTGAGAAGAGGCTGCTCAAACATGGCCACATTGATGCTAAGAGGCTCTTTCGACTTGCTGCTGCCTAAGAAATAAAGGTGCTGATCATCACTGTCAAGTTTGCTATCCTCGGCCTCCTCGGGATCACTCTTTCTGCTGCTTCTATTAACCCATATCCTTATCACAATGACAATAGTAAGAGTGATAAGTATAGTCCCAGCCACCACTGATAAGATTCCCCAGACATTAAACAACAATGATCTTTTAACAAAACTATTGGCAGGGCATTTTAGAGCCACGATCCCCCCGCAGAGATCTTTGTTCCCAGCCACTGAAACTTTTGAAAGATTCTGGCAAATTCCATTCCTCGGTATAGCTCCTTTCAGTTTGTTATCCGTAAAATTTAGTATATCTAAATTGGGAAGGGCACATATTGTTTCGGGAATTTGGCCAGAGAGACTGTTACCTGAGACATCCAAATACTCAAGTTGCACAAGATTTCCTAGCTCAACTGGAATTTCACCAGTTAAACTGTTTGCATGGAGATCAAGAAACGTCAAATACGACAAGTTGCCCAATGATGGTGGCAAGTCTCCAGTGAAGGAGTTAGTACCCAAATTAATAATCTCAAGTCTCCATGCTGCAGAGTTTGAGAATAGCTTATCTAGACCGCTCGAAAGCCTGTTCTGCTGAACATAAAGGCCAACAAGGTTTACCATCCTGGAAAGCGACTGAGGAAGTTCACCGTCAAGTATATTTGAGCTCAAATCTAAGTGAGTCATCCCATTTAACTTCCCAAAACTTGAGGGTATTGGACCTGAAAGCATGTTCCCTGTCAAATTCAGCTTCACCAAACTATTTACTTGGCCAATGCTTTCAGGGATTGATCCTGTAAGCTGGTTATTCCCCAGATAAAATCCTTGCAGCTTATGTGAGTTGCCAAATTCCTTTGGAATGGTGCCTGTTAACAAATTCCCGGTTAAGTCTAACGTAGTGAGGTTCACCAGGTGGGCGAGTGATCGTGGTATCTCTCCAGATAGCATGTTATTGCTGAGCAAAAGATCCACTATAACAACACAACTCCCTAGCTCTTCAGGTATTGAGCCAGACAATTTGTTGTGAGACAGATCATAAACTCCATGATGCTGCACATAACTCGAATCAGGGATACTAACTTGCCGGTAATACTTGGAAATCTTAGAAGGAATAGCACCACTAAGATCATTGTGTGAAAGGACTAAACACTGTAACTGAGGCAGATGCCCCAGTGTCTCCGGTATCAACCCACGCAGCCTGTTATTCCCAATATTCAATGTTGTAAGAGAGACACAATCACCCAACTCATCAGGAATATACCCTTCAAGAAGATTGGAATTCAAGTTCAACACTGAAAGAGAGGTTAAATTACCAATCTCCTTAGGAATGACACCAGTTATCTGATTGTTACTAAGAACAAGACTCTGCAATGACACAGCATTGCCAATCTCCACCGGTAGAGTACCCCATAACCGGTTATTCGCAGCAGAAAAAGCCAACATATAAGTCGAATTCCAGAGACTCACCGGAATTGGACCTGTCAAATTGTTGGAATCCAAATCAAGAACCACCAAAGGAAGCTGTGATAGATACTCCGGAATCATCCCAGCAATACTATTATCCATTAATCCCAACTGACTCAGATTGCCACACTTGACAAATGTGTCATCAATGGTGCCTGTGAGAAAGTTATTGCCAAGCTCAATATCCGCGAGTGCCACGGCATTGCAAAGCTCCTTAGGTATTGGACCAGTCAGTAAGTTATTGCTCAAACTAATATGACTCAACATAGAACAATTCCCAATCTCAGCAGGAATTTTCCCAGAAAACCGGTTACTCGAAAGCAACAATGAATCCATTTGTGTCCATTTTCCAATCCAAGAAGGCAATGCACCAGAAAGCTGATTGTTTTCTGCAGAAAAGGATAGAACAGGCAACTCTGCAAGTTCTTCAGGCAAAGACCCAGAGAGTGAGTTAAAAGAAAGCATTACAGACACCAAGTTTCTACACTTTCCAAGCTCAGAAGGTATTGAACCATTGATCTCAGAGTAAGCAAGGTTCAGTATAGTCAAATTCTCAAGACTACCTATAGCTTTTGGGATTGAACACTTCAATGGGTTATAAGAAAGGTCAAATCTTTTCAAAGATTTCAACTTTGAGATGGATTCAGGCAATGGACCTTCAAGTAAACATGAAGGAGCCAAGAAAATCTCGAGTCTTGAAAGTTCACCAATTTCTGCTGGCAAATGGCCAGAGAATCTGTTTTCCCCAATGTAAAGATCAGTAAGGCTTCTCAATTCCCCAATTTCAGGTGGAATAATACCAGAAAGGGTGTTATTAGAAACATCAAAAGAAGTTAAAGATTGAAGCTTTGTAAAAAGTGTTGCAGATAAAGAACCAGAAAGAAGGTTATTTCCAAGTGCCAAAACTTGTAGCTTAGTAAGGTGACCAAGTTGGGCTGGAATTTTTCCGGTCAGTGCATTGCCTGAAAGGTCAAGTAACTTCATCTCCGTCAACCGTCCAAACTCCGGCGGTATTTCTCCAGTAAGACAGTTAGAACCAAGTTTAATTGTTTCTAACAGAGAAAGTTCACTGAGATGAATTGGTAACTCACCAGACAACTGGTTATTACTCAAATCCAACACTTTCAAACTCTTCAATGAAGCAATGTGGGGTGAAATAGGCCCTTTGAGCGACAAAGAAGAAAGAATAAGGGAAACAACTTGACCATTTTGGCAGAAAACACCATCCCATTTGCAATGTGAAATTGTGGGGGTCCATGTAGACAAAAGATAAGGATTTTCAAGAGAACTCCTGAAAGAAAACAAGATTTGTCTTTCTGGGTACTCCTCTGTTCTTTGTAAAACAACATTAGAAACACAGAAACAGAGAAGAAAGACAACAATGGCAATAGTAGAAGAAAACCCAGTAGCCATTACAAAAAAAGGAACAGAAGATAAATGAACAAGTGTGGTAGATATGAGAAAGCTGTGTACATTAGTCCATTAAAGAATGGCTCTGAATTGGATGTTGAAAGTTAGAAGCATTAAGAAGAAAGAGAATAGAAGTTGAAAAATACAGATGTTGGAAACATGAAGAGAGGAGAGAAGAACAGAGGATGATTCAATTCCATGGTGGAATACCAAATACTTGAATATAAATTTTGTTAATCCCCAAAATTTATATTCTTGGTATAATGTGATTGTGAGAAACAAGAAAATGAAAGTGCAGATTATAAAGAAAGTGCAGTCTTCAAAGGGTCTTGAGTTGGCGCACAGGTTTATTTAGGTTTTAATAAAACATTCCTAACTTATATTTATATTAGAAATCGATTAAATTTAAATTTGTATAAGTTAAAATGCTCACTGACAAAAGCGATTTCATATTGTACTGTGTCAGTGAGTGGGGTTCCTTGGCCCCTACTTATAAGTAAGTCACGGGGGGAACTATTTCACTACCAACAAATGAATACGAAAAGATTGTTGCTTTTGAAATTTGTCTCACATTCAAATCTCTGTTTTTATGAGACATATTTTAAGATCCCCAGTTTTGGGAGTATCTACACATGTGTTATCCCTAAAATACCCCTACTAATTAGAAAAAGAAAATCAAGAGGCCCCCCTCCCTTCCCTTTATTTTGGGACGGAAGGAGGAGTAGTATTTTTTTAAAATTGGAATATAATATTAAAAAATTAGTAGTTAATGTTAAGGATATAAGAAAAAATATTTTAGTAAATAAAAGTGAACAAACGGTATTTATTTGATGTTTGAGTTTGACACATTTGCTAGTAATAATTGAGGTTACTTGTAGGGGTAGTTAAACTACTTTGGTAATACATGTGGCTAAAACCACATTTAAAGAGTCATTTAATCATTATGTGAGGACAAAAGCACATGAACTCTCTGAAATTACTCTTAAATCAGAAAAAGATTTCATTTGTACTTGAGGATAAAAGGAATCTTATTTGGTCAAGTTTGTCACTTTACTATAGGGTGTGCAAAAATCGATTTAACCAATAAATTGAATCAAAAAAACACTATTGATTTATTGATATTGAGTTATTGGGCTAACGGTTATTAAATGGTTTCACAACTTTTTTTATTGGGTTATTGGTTCGGTTTTCGGTTTTATGATTTTTGATAATGGTTAAACCGATAACCCAATAAGACTATACTAAATTTACTATTTTATCTCTAGACCAGTAAACCCTAATTATATAACATTTTACAAACCCTATTACTTTAATCTCAGTATTACTTAAAACCCTAATTATTGTTTCATTTTGTAATTGCAAGCACACTTCTAACTTGAATGTGCCAATTGCCTAGACTTGCTGAAAAATGATTGTTACTTTCACACTTTTTCCTTTGAATGTGTCTAGTGTCTAAACTTGCAAGAAAAATGATTGTTACTTTTGTGATTGTTACTTTCATGCCAAATGCTGGAAAAATCATATGATTTATATGAAAATTTTCTCATCGTGTATATTAATATATATGAGTATTTTCTTATTGGTTAAACTAAAAACCGAACCGTTAAGTACCATAAATTGATAAGAAATATGTTATTGATTTGGTTATCGATTTGACGTATTTACAAATCGAAAACCGATAAACCGAACCAATAACACATAAAACCGAACTGAACCGAACCGATGCGCACCTCTACTTTACTATCATATGGAAAAGAACATATATTCAATATAATTCAACGAATTTTAGTAGTAGTATCATTTTCTTTCTTCAAATTGGTGTTACGAGAATTTATATTGGAATTTTAATTAAATTTGGATCACGCATTATATTAGTGATAGTCAGAATTTCACTAAGGATGTCCATAAAAAGTGTTGCAAATGAGATTTAAACACATAAGCACCCTAATGTTGGCTCTTTCAAAACGTCTAAAATTACTGGGCTACAACACCTTGTTTTGTCAAGAGTGTTCAACATATGTTATTTAATCACTTAATGTATTGATTTACTTATATATACGATATTATCTTCCGAAAAAGGGTATCCAATTAGACACTCTGACAATAACATAGCTACGCCACTGACTACAAGGTTCATTTGAAGGTGATGCTCTCAACATGATTTTCTCCATATAATAGGACTCGATTTGAGATCTCTAGTTAAGGATGAAACAATTTCAATCACCTTATCACAACTTAGGTTCGTGTAGTACTATTATTTGTTTTTTTTTTTGGAAAATGTAGAGAAGGATATAGTGGTCATTGTGCATTTGTTTGTAAAATGACATGTAATATTTGAGGAAAAGGAAGTTAATGATGGGACGGATGGTCAGAGGGAAAGAGGCTTAACACTGTTTCTCCTGCGGAAACAAACAAATGGCTTTTACCCTTTCGTACCAAAAAACATCATCACTCGGGAGACAAACAAATGGATTCTCAATTTATTTTAATTTATAGTAAAAATTTATATTAAAAAAAGGTTTATTATATAAATAACTTTTTAAATGTGGTAGGATATTTCATGTAAATACTTCAATTAAACACCTTCAACTTCTAATAAATTGTTCAATTATATATTTTTTGTTTAAATTTTTATTTTTTATTTTTACTTTTAGACAATTAAGTCAATCACATAAAATAAGTTTTTTTTTTAATTATACACATTTAGTTCAATAATGTGTATGATCTAGAAATTTTTTTTACTTTGAGATTGATACGTATAATTAAAGAAGATAATATATTTATATGGTTAATTAACTTATACATCAAATAGACGGGTGAAAACGTGCATAATCCCATTTTTTTTCTCCAAAATTTAAATTAAAAGTATTTAATTAAGAGACTTTATTAGAAGTTGAAATTTTCAATTACAACGACACTTAGTTTAAATATTCTGATAAATTTAAGGGATCGATGTGATAAGGGTGTGCAAATATTGATTTAACTGATAAAATCAAATCGAAAAAATACTATTGATATTAGGTTGTTGGGTTAATGATTTTTAAACAATTTTGTAAATTTTTTATTGGGTTGTCGGTTCGGTTTCCAATTTTATGATTTTTGTTAGTGATTAAATCGATAACCCAATAAGATGTATGTTAAAAATCATTAATTTACTCATTATATAACAACTTTAACATTTTACCAATCCTATTTTCTAAATTTTAGCATTACTTTTGGCCGTAAGCAACAAAAACTAGCATTACTCCCTCTCTATTCCGACACCTTCTCTCTTTTCGACATAAACTTATACATTCTCTCTTCTCAATTAGTTTTGATTGTGACAAACACACACAGTTATTTGTTATTTCCTCAATTTATTGCATTACTCTTTAAAAGAAATTCAAACAATTATATGTCGTAAACAAAGATATGATCAATGTAAAAATTTGTGTTGAACTAATTTTATTCTTGTTAGTATTTATATTTTCATAACCATTTTATATATATAATTATATGAGCATTTACTTATCGATTATATCAAATTGATTAACCAAAAAGCAATAATAAGTATGTTCTTATTGATTTGATTATCAATTTAACATATTCACAAACCAAACTATAAAGACATAAAATCAAATTGAACCGATCAATACATGTAACTATGTATTAAGTTAAGAAAAGTGTTTTGTAACACAAATCTGATTGAAGTGAAGGAAACTTTATGATCCAACCATAAATCTTGTTGGTGGAGGGGTAGGAGCCTAGCTACGTAAATATTGAACATTAAATATGATGACAAAACTTGCTTAAACACATCAAATATTGCATTAAATACGACCACATAAAGAAAAAGGTTATGTGAGACTTGTACGTTTATATATCAAAAAGAAGGATAAGATGCAATTTACAATATATAAATGCCAAAAATAGAAGCTATAGAGATATGACTTTTGCTCTGAACAAATTAAATCTGGCTAACTTCCTTTGTTTCTCTCCCTCTTACGTTTCAATGATCTATTTAATATCAACAAATCCAACTTTTTTTTAAAAAGAATTTTGATAAAAAATTTATTTTTAAAAAAGATCAAACTATCTATTGTGCAGAGCTTCCATTAGATTCGAATTATGCATGACAAAATCTATTTTGGGGTGACAGTTCTTACATGATTTTTTTTTATGACAAGGAAAATTCGCAGTTGCTATCCTATGGATGTGCACGGGATAGAATCCTCGAACCTATGTAATAGCTTACAAATCACATAAGAAAGGTAACCCACACTAGGCAATTCCAGTGCGACGAGCTTGATCCAGAAGGCAAATTCTTTGCCATCGCTGGCAAGAGTTTCGAACTTGAGACCTCCAATATGAAAGTTCAAAGCCCAAGCCCACTGCTGAGCCTCCATATTCAGATTTCAAACTCGAAATTTCTAATTAAGTACAAAATTACAAATTTTAAAGTTTTCCTTTCTCTTCTAACTTTAGGAATATCAAATAATGTCACGTAAAATTAAGTCCGAGAAAGCAAAAGATAGTGCAGATTCTCTGGATATTAGAGTGTTACAACTTTCAATGTAAATTTGATATCTTATCAGTGAGGAGCAGAGATTCTTCTCACTTTGGTGTTGGGTTTTGGCTCATTTGTGATTGATGGATGGAAGTTTTTTTTTATTTTAGATTTACGACTCTTTTAAGGATATCAAATGTTGATTACACTTACTAATATTTCACAAAGATTACTAATTTGATTTATACTTATAAGATAATTTAAATATTAATATGATCATGTATAAGGTTTTTATCATCATCTTCCATTTAATTATAAATAAATTATGAGAAAAGGGTCTGATATACCTCTCAATTATGTTATTTAGAGCTAATATACCATTCGTTATTAAAGTGGCTCATATATACCGCTACTTATATACAAATGACTCACATATACCTTTTTCCTCTAACGGGAGTGAAAAAAATATTTTTAGTTTACTTTTTAAATTTCTTTTAAAAAAAAATATAATCCCATATGGATATATTTAATCCTCCTCAAACATTTTTTTGTTTTAATGACTAATTTATTTATGTTTCACTAATATTCTTGTAAAATTTATTATAGTTGACCCATTTTTTTTCTTCAAATACAAAAACTAAATTACAATATAGCCAAAAAAAAATAGTTTTAAATTATAATATAGCCACAAAAAAATAGTTTCAATTTTTTTTTCTTTACACTAAGGAATGA